TTATATTACCTCTATTCTGTGGAACCTTTATTAAGCGTTCGACAAATATTATTTGTTCACATCGCCATTCCCCGTGGGTGACCGATTAATACAGGTTTGACTGTCTCTGGTTTCTGGAGCTTATCTTTCCTTTAGAGATTCTTATAAATACGCTTTTAGGAGAAGATTTAATTGGCACATGAGAGGAGATACGCAAAGTCCAGCGTTTTAAGTAGCCCCTTTATTCGAAAAAGTAACTTTAATCGATTTGAGAGAGTTTGCCAAGATGTAGAAGGCTACTCTAACTCGAATAGTGATCCTTGATTTATAATTGCTGATTATTTGCTTAAACCTGTCAAAACCGATTCTCCAGGTTATAGTTATGCAAGGTATTTCTCTGAATGACAAGTTAATTAGATACAACCCTAAAACAGCAGTTCTTCTTACTCATTTTTCAGGAAAAAGAACCTTTTGCATCGAAGGTGAGGACAAATATCTATGAAAACTTTTATCTCCTTATCAAATTCACTAAATAACATGGCTCCTTAACATTCCTATAAGGTTGTCCTCGAGGCTGCACTTGTGCGAGATTACCCGGAAGTGACGTCAAGGTGCTGGTAAAGAGTGACTCTTTGGTTTCTTTACCAGGTCATTATCCAGAAACCACAGCAGTCGTGTGAGTATTGAACGGAAGAGAGGATGATGAAGTTGATCAAGAGCGCGTTTTTGTTTATTAATATTCGTATATGATAATATTCCTTTTTCAGGCTGTTTGGTGAAAACAGAATAAGTCGGGTTAATATCAAAGATTTTCCAAGACTCCAGTTCATGGAATACTTGTAAGTTTGATCTTACTGTTGCACTTTATCTTGCTCTAGCATATCAGGGTACTAACTGCAAAAATTCTCCACAGAGACCTCAGTAACAATGTTATACTCGACATGGAAAATTCCCCGTTTAAGAAACTCACCGCTTTAAAGACACTGTAAGTTGCATAACTTTATTTTTTAAATCATGTCGAACCGTAATGTACTTAACACGTGCCTCTGGTTTTCGCAACCAGGAGTACTGTTATTCCCGTGGACGGGATGTCAGTGCCAGGACAGGGTTGCTTCCAGCATTTGGTCTGCTAATCAGTTCCTATCGAGACTAAACGCTAAAGAGAGACACATTGAAAGTAAAGTTCTTTACCCAAGAAACAACAAATGCCAAGAGCTCGGAACCAAGCTCCAGATTTCAAATCGTTAGCCCTTTTGAATTCTCCCTTTTTGACCTTTTTATATTATACTTAATGTTTATTTCTCGACAAAACTAATGATAGGTATCTTTTTATGGAAACGTTTTCGATCAATTATTCTAATTCTTCATAGTTTCCTGTTGTCATAATGCAAGACAATACGCCCGAACAAAAATACAAATGATATAATGTCCAACGAACCCCGATATCTTTTAAAAATTTCAGGAGACTGAATGGGAACTTCCTTGAGCAAGTGACAAGAGAGAATTTCATAGGATTGTCCAAACTTCACACACTGTGAGGACACAGCTGTTAGATATACATTAACCCTCTACACCTTAACATCAGTGTGCATATTCTCCACACTATTCTCTATACGATTCCTAAGGTGCCGACAAGGAGGATTTGTTTAGCAATCAGGAGCTCGAGTTTCTTTAGTTAGTGATCATTTCCGGCTTTATTTGCTTGACCTGTGGGTGTGACTCGGGGATTCAAAGGGTTAAAGTTGTCTGACAAATTATCTTATGTAAACAAACTATTCGACTGTTTACCAGGTGTTCATCATTCACCAAAGTATCTCGTCAGAATTAAACGTGTGGTAATCGTGTACTATATTACTTCTTGTTTCCAGTGATCTTGCATTCAATTTCGTGAATGAAGAGCATCTTTGTGGTCGCCACGAATTACTATTTCAGAACTGCTTTAAATTCTGACTTTAAGGAGTTAAAGGTTGGAAAAACCCTTCTTATTTCTTAACACAGGGATATGGGATCAAACCTACTTCGTGAAATTCGCCAAGGAGTATTTCAAGAACTAAAAGAGTTGAAAGTTTTGTAAGCTACACATCTTTAAATGTGTATTTTTGTTTCATTTCGATTCTGATGTAGTACTCATCAAAACAGTTCTCTTATTTTCTAACTTTGTGTTGTCTTGAGCAGAGGTTTGCGTTCTAATAAGATTCACAAAATTGAAGCTGATGCGTTTCGAGGCCTGAAAAATTTGACCTTTCTGTGAGTATACCAATCTTTCAATTTGCTACAAATAAAATCTTCTTTCAGATTTCAGTTTCATAAATGAAGGAAAGAAAAAGGTTTCATGAAAAAAGTGATCAGTTGGAGAACAGGGATAAGCAGTGAAATACCCAAGTGTTGTCGTGAGTCCGGGTCAGCTCTAAGCAGCTTAAAGTTTAATGTTGTTCTTATGGCCTGACGAGGTCATAGCAGTGAAACTCCTATATATGTAACTTTGCTCCAGTCTTCCTTACGGTAAACTGATAAACCGACATTCAACATATATCTCGATCTCTCCCTCAAATTTTAGTTATCTTCACGATAATGAATTAACAAACATTCGGCGAGAAACATTCAGAGGACTTCACTCATTACAGACACTGTAAGTAGCGTTTTCTTGTCTCAATCGAAATAATAAAATTAACTAAGTTACTCAGATTCCCACTTACGTTTCCTCATAATTATGTTAGTTGCCTTAGAAAATTTTTTCTTAGCCTCGTGCGAGGAAAAATATGAGCGGTGAGAAAATATCTCCTCCTATCATTACTATATCAATCTTACTTTAATTTCTAGCCTTTTATTTTCAGTTTTCGAAATACATACCAAGGCATTATCTGAAAATTGTGTCGAACGCGTAAGGCGCGCGCGAAAGACAAAATACATCATTGAATGTCCTCTATAGAAAACAAGAAAAAATTCCGTTTACTTGAAAGTTCATCGCTTAATATGTCGTGCCCAAACGACGTAAACAAATCGTTGGAATCGTCTGGTGCGGCCTTTTTTTTGGTCCAATTTCCGTCCGTTTAGTTTACTGATTCTATGGTGCGAAACTGTCGAATATTATACTCGTTTTATTGAGCCAATAGGGTAAAATGTCGTTATAGTGGAATGATAGGTCGTGATAATAAATAAAAAAGGGAACTTTACATCTCAATAACACTTTTCATTGGACTTGACCGGACATGACTTTATTGAAAAATTAAAAGAATCCGTTGTTTTCCTTCCTATCTTCAGTTTTCTCAATGGAAACCCACTATCAGAGTCAGATTTTGATCCTGACACCTTCGACGAGTTGACAAGCCTCAAAACATTGTAAGGTCTTCTGATTGTTGTTTAATTTTTGATAGTTATGATATTTTAGCAGATTAGATCTAGTAAGGAAAAAACTAGTGTGGTTTTCTCCATAATTTCAACTGTTTAAGTTAATTATACAAATAGAAAACATAGATCATCTTTACGCATTCAAACTGAAATAATTGGTTAAAGGGGGTAAGTTCCTAAAGAAGCTGTGATGCTGCGTCGGTGGGGGTGTTACAGGGTATTTTAGTTTTATCAGCTAGGTTGATAATGTAAATTGGCCACATCGCCATTCGCTCTAACGAATTCGGCTACTGCTCGAAACATTAGCTTACAAACTCTTTACGATGGTCAATTTACATTATCAGCTCAATTGATAAAACAAAATAAACTGGAACAGGCCCAACATAATGTCGCAATCACACTTGAGTAATTTACTTTGACAATTTTTTGCTCGTCAAAGTAATCAATAAATAAATATTTTCAAGAGCACTCGAAAAAGAAGCTTCTTGAGTGGGGTGTGTTGCACGACATCCATAGAACGGGTCACGTGTACTTGCAGGGCTAGCATTTTATTTAAGACCTTTCCAGTTTCCGTTTAAGCAACCTTTTCAAGCCAACCTACATTCGTTTGTACTTGAAAAGCCTTCTTTTACTAGGACTGGTTACCAACTCGTCCATCATCATTGCCAAGAGAAAACTCGCCGATATAAGAGCGGCTTAAATCAGTAAGCCATATCAAGAAGCAAGAAAAAGGAGGAGAAGGAGAGACGCCTACTTGCCCAGACCTTGTTTACTCATTGGTATTCGATTGTCTCTCGTACAGAAGTCTGTTTTACGAACTCCTGCCCGTATCATGAACTTCAAGAAAGCTAACTGGACCTATATTCTCATCGAAAGCAACATAACACAAAAAACGAGATTAGTTTTGTCGATAAGAAAGATGCATTCATAGTGTGGACTACAAGAGACTTTTGCATTCGTCTGCATTTGCATAACTGAACTAACTTTGATACAATCGACAGGCTCCTGTGAACGTCCTGACTGTTCCTCTTCATCTTCTCATTTTCTCTCCACAGAACAAAATATGCATTGTTCCAATTGTAAACTTAGTTGTTTTATCTTGTCGCAATTTGTTGTTTGTTAGTTTTCTTTCTAAATCTCACAAGCAAAATTATGTCACATAAAATTTAATCCCAGACCTTTATATACAAACTATTATCTTTTGTAGGAAACTCGATCAATTCATCATATGTTGTTACGCAATGAGTACCATTCCAAACCTTAAATGCCAGTCACCTGAGAGAGCGTTCTCGACTTGTGATGATTTAATGAAAAACGACGGACTGCGCATGTGTATTTGGATCCTTGGATTGCTTGCCTTCATCGGCAACTTATTAGTGATCATTTGGAGGATTCGTGTTCGAGATGACAACAAAGTTCAGTCTTTTGTACTCACTAACTTAGCCTGCGCAGACTTTTTGATGGGTGTATACCTATTAATCATCGCCATTAAAGATCTTCAGTGGAAAGGCAAATATTTCAAACATGACGTTGCATGGAGAAAAGGAAACCTCTGCCAATTCGCAGGCTCACTTTCAATGCTTTCAAGTGAAGTGTCTGTTCTCATGTTATTAACTATGACAATAGACAGACTTATAAGTGTCGTATTTGCCCTGAGACTGCAGTCCTTATCATTGAAATCAGTGCGTATTATTTGTTCTTGTATATGGATAATTGGAATCATTATATCGTTTATCCCCTGGACAGGAATATCCTATTTCCATGACAAATTCCATAGTTTTGGCTTCTTTGGAAGTTCAGCAGTTTGCCTGCCGCTTCAGTTCTCAGAGGATAAACCTGCAGGATGGGAATATGCTACGGCATTTTTCATCGTTTTGAATTCCGTTGTGTTACTGTGTATTCTGACTGCTTATGCCTTAATATTCTGGACTGCTTTGACTCTAATTAACTCTTCCTCAGTAAAGCACCTGAAAGCTGAGTCAACCAGAGCCAGAAGACTTTTCTTCATCGTTTTGACGGACTTTCTCTGCTGGATGCCAGTTATCATTATCGGTATTCTATCCTTAAGTGGAAATTTTCATGATCCGAAACACGAAGCAAAAGTTTGGATAGCAGTTTTTGTTCTGCCCGTCAACTCTGCCATCAACCCAATCCTATACACCTTCTCCACTCTAGGAGTACGAAGAAAATTAAGATCTGCATTCAATAAGAGATTTGGCGGAAAGTTCAGCTGTAAGTAAAGACCACCTTGAGTCTTAACCGAATAACAGTCGTAAGTAGTAGGGAGCTAGAATTGGTTTCATAATTTCAACCGGATAAAGGTAAATTTTACAGGAGAAGTCCCTAAAGCCTTAGTTTATTACCAATCCGAATCAAACGGGTATCACTGCAAATTTACAACAAGTGTGGCCTATTCTGTACATCGGCTGCTGTGAAGGTCCACTTTACTTTTACCGTATAACGAGGCAATTTGTTATGTTGACATAAATTTCACAAAGGATCACACGAGACAGCAAATTTCAATTCGCCGTTTTCAAAAATGCTTGATTCACCTGACCCTTAAAAAAAACCAAGCACACAACTGCGCACTTGCCGACTTGCCAGTAATGGGCAGAGCACATGACAAGCCTTGAAAAATTCCCACAGAACATGTGTCGTTTGTCTCAAGTACAACATTCCTTCGCTTCTCGCTTCTCCAGACTGTAATATCGTATATTTATAAATCAGTGATATGGCAATGACGGACAATTGAGTTCAGTATCGTTGCAAAAATATGTCAGTTCAATGAATATAAAGAGAATCATATTGACTGATTAAATTTTAATATTTCTTGATAGGCGGCAATTGTTACCAAAGAGAGCCCACCGAGAGTTTATCCATGCAGGATACAGTTGTCTCGGAGTATCGCCACATGGAATCAGTTGAAAGTCCGCGGAGGAAGCTACATATACTGGAGAAAGCTACAGGATTTTATCAAGATGATGATGTGGTATGTCAACCTTTCTGCTTGTATTTTAGCTGTTTTAGCTCCTCAATCACTTGAATAACAAGGCCATCTTCATTTCCTTCACTGCGCAAACGCTCCTCAGAAAAAGCATCTACTATAGCAGCATGCAAGATTTCCATCTGACAAACATGAATTGGTTGTTTCTTAACCAGAATCTAAAACTTAGCTCAGTGGACCAAAACATTTGCACATGCATCGTACAATACAGAATTAAATCCCGTTTGAAGCTCTCAAATTTACCTCCCCTTGGCTATTATGTTATTGTGTTACTGGTTAAGAAACATTTCACAATTACATCTCTTTTTTATAGTTCTATCTCGTTGCTAAGGAAATGACAAAAGGAAATAATTTCAAGGTGTTGCTGAAATGCTTTAGCTGGAGAAAAAGGAGTACTTTTGAGAACGAACTTGAAGTGTATAAATGTTTACCTCAAAGCGCGGTCAGAAATGACATTCCTGCTCTTCAGTGGTACTCGGAAGGTAAAAAGTATAGTTACGTAGTTATATAGCTATGTAGAGGAAAAGGTGGGCAAAATAGAGATAATTACATGGGGAATTTTGAAATGTTTCTTTTATGTAACGAGCAGCAGAGAAATTGAATGTAACAAGTGTATCTGGTCACCAACTAAAAAGTAGAAGGAAAACCTGTCACCTTTCCCTAACACAACACAACAGTTTGTTTTCCATTTAAAACAGTTCTTATTCTCTATCTATTTTTAACGACTTTAAGTGTGCAAAGAGCAAAATCAATTCAGTCTTATTCTCCAGAATTGCAGTGCATGATTTCTTTCCTCTTCAGCAAACGTTTTGGAAATATCTTGTGCGAATGAAGATGTTCCGCGACCCAATGAGAATATGAGGTATGAATGAGATGAGTGTGCCTGAGAATCAATTTGGTTCCACAAAAATTGAGCTTTTTCATACTTATCCGAAATTCACAGTCTCAGCATCTTTTTCAACATTCAAAAATGTCCAATAGAGAATATGAATTTATGATAATGATAACAATTCCCGAAATGATAAGGATGACGTTATGATCTAGGTATTAATAACGACAGTCCTGGTTACAATTAACAAAAAGTGTACAGGTGCTGATCCGGTAGATGATGGTCATTATAAATGTGAACTTTGAGATCATCTCCAAAAATCTGGCCTCAATTATCGTCAGTAACATCGTATTCAACATTTTTGAGTAGCAAATATGTAAAGATATATATAAATCTCTCTCTCCTTCAAAAGGAAGCGATTATCCAGCCTGCAGTAAGAGGAATCAAACGGCCTCATTCAAAAATGGCAAAGGAAAAGCTTCCCATCCCTTGTTCTAAATTTACAACTTTTAAGGCTCTTCTTCCTTACTAAGAGACGTTATTTTTAATCATCAAACTCACCCTCTGACGTTGTTCTTGTTTGTACTTTACTGTCAGCTTGCTTTGTTACAAGTATGTAAGCGGAATCTCCCTCTCGAATTTCATGGAAAAGAACCGCACATCCATGTGTCTCACTCTGGTTTATCAATTTGCCCTTGACATCATCAAGACTTTGGAGTATCTGCATGAGAACGGGGTGAATCATAATGGCATTACACTTGCAAATATCTTGTTAACTGAGAATCCGGGGGTGAGTATGGCACTTCCCATGTAACAAATACATTTTGTCACACTTCGGAACTGCTATGTTGATGGCGTCCTTTATATCATTCATGTTATTTAGTCCTTTGTTCGCCTCGGAATTCCTCCATTCTCTAAGTCGCTCAGTAATTTTCTAGGCCATCCAACCGTCCATTCATTCATTCATTCGTCTATTTGTTTCCTAACTCTTCCACTTTGTTTAAACATTACGTTCGTAATTTAGTTCATTCACTCTTTTGTTACCTTTTCTCCTCTCCCTCGATCGTTCTTTTCTTCACTAATTAATTATGAGCTTTCTCATCGAGCCTGTGGCGCTTTTTGTTTCAGATCCCTCAGTGGCAAGCAAGGCTGATGAACTTTGACCGTGCATGCAAAGGACCAAGTCATGCAAATGACGTGAGGTCTTTTGGTGATCTGCTCCAAGAAATGGCTCAGCGATGCAATGATAACAACCAACAGGTAGGTTTGCTCTTTGCTATGTGCATCATTTGTAAGTAAAGTGCGAAAAACTTTCCGCTTGCTTTGAGTTTTTTGTCTACCACAACTGCTTTGCTTTCGAAGTTTTATCAAGTAGCCAAAGGGTCATACTGCTGTTTTCTACGTGCTTTTTCGTTCCACAGATACAAGAATTGTTAGACTCATTTCCTATTAGCGCAAGGGAAGCAAACGCAACCGCTGTCATGGTTCGTCTACTACTGGAGAAAGCCTGGGGCGAGTTTTTCATGGAAACAAGACTGTGATCCACATTTTGATCCTCCTTTGACAATTTACTAAGGACGAGATGATATTCAGTTCTTTTTCATGGGTTTAAGTATCTGATAAAGTTTCTTCATCCCTTAAAACAATTCGAGGCATTAATAGCAAGATGGTACATAACAGACCTTTTTTAGTGTTCATAGTGTTGTTTATTTCGCAAACACATTACCAAAAAATTACCTATATGAACAATTAGTAAGAATTTCACGGATCCATACACAACCATACCACCTCACAGACTATATACAGTAGTTTCGATGAGGACACCCTCCTCACTTGTCTTGTCTGCATATCCAATGTTAAATTAGGTCGAAAATGTCGTAAAAAGGACGACAATTTCCGTATTACCTTTTCCTTTCTTTTGTTTTCAATTGAAACTCACATAGATATTCTTTAGGAAAATCAACAAATCTGTCAAATAATTATTTCACGACTTTAATCCTGTAAAGAAATAAATACAACTGTGCATCACTGATCGATCAAAATAACCAATGTATTTTGACATTACTTCTTGGCTGACATACTCCGTTTGCCATTTCCATCCTCCATGGGGGATAATGTTCTACTACTCGTCTTCGTTTTTGCAGAAGAAGCTCTTTTTTTCTCCTTAGGATCATCTTTAGATGCCGGGTCCGATGGACTGGGTAACGCTCTTACAATATTGTTCTCTTTCTTTGATTCAGAAATAGGTTTACCATCATTCAAAACATCTTCAGAGGGATGGGGTGGGTTGGTCGAAACTTTCTCACTTTCAGCTGCTATGTTGTTCCCAGAGGATGTCTGAGCAGCCTCATAAGAGGTTAACGCATTCGATACTCCACTAACAACAGAGGCTGCCCGTGTGGTGACTGGTGTTTCCTCTATAAGGCATGTTGAGCCAACTGGCGACATCGCAGCCGCAGGGGTGGGAGGAGGGGCACTACTTTGACCGGTCTGTACCCTCCCCTCCAGCTGACTTGATCTCCTATGTTCCTCGGCAAGTCGTTGCTTTTCCTTCTCTTCTTCCATTTCCTTTTTATCTTTTTCAATGGCATGCATTTGCTGTTGATGTTCTTGGAGTATTCGCTGCATTTCCTTGGGCCGCGGGGCGTGCAGTTGCGGAGATTTCGTGGAAGGGATGGAAGGATTTTGTTTGTTCTCTTCAGTTGTACCCAAGATGGAGTCAATGTCATCAATGGCTGCCTGAGAAACAAAATGAGAAAAATTTCAATCAATTTGAAAGAAATTACAGAAACATGTTGTTAACAGTAGTTACCAAACACAGATCCAAAAACTGCGTTTCGGAAAATGCTGCTCCTCATATTTACCCGCTCCACACAGCCTACCAGAAAAAATGGCGGTAGCAGGACAAAATTTTTTGTTTACACGTTCATTGGCTCGTTTCTACTGACTGTCCGTCCGAGATCCCAAACGTTTCCTTTCCAACTGAGGAATATTTAAAGTGCATCAAAGTCTGGTATTAATTAGGTAGAATGACCTGAAAGTTACTCTCTCCCTGCATATTTGGAGCGGAGATTTCCTGATGAATTACTGACAGGTTACGAGCAAATGTTGACAGGGAGCCTTGTAGGTCATCACTCATAACACTAAAAAAAAATGGCGACAAAGTATTAGAATTTAAGATGGAGTTGTGTGGGGTGATCTACAACATGATAAAACATACGGGCTAAATGTCCGTGACCTGCTGCTCTCAATCAGATCAAGTGAGGACAGGCAAGTAAAACCTGAACGGGAATTTTGTAAAGGATGATGATTGTGTGCAATGAATTAGAAAAAAAAAGAGATATTGCTGATCGTCTTTCTCCTGCTGATGTCAACCAAAACACGATCATGACCGAGAAAAAAGTCAGCCTTACATAGGCCTTGCCTTGGATTAAGGATGGTGGTCATGAAAATATACCCCCGATGGTCTATCGACGAATGTGATAAAACCAAAATGCAATCACGACATACATAGCCTTGGGTTTAGGATAACAGACTCGGATTAAATATGCCAAACAACTTGTTTCTTTCAGTTGATATCAGACAGATGGTTCAAAAATGAAAATCTTAGGCAACGGCAAAACAACTTACAACATTCCTAAATGTTCTCGTTTTGAGCTGTCCACCAAAGTGAAAATTGTACCAGCTTTTTCCTACGAGGAGAGAAACATCACAAACGGATGAAATCACGTCAAAAAGCAAAAACAATTCTCTTCTGTAAAACCAACATAGTGTGGTCCAGTTACTGTAATTTAGATCAACAGAATATTGCGTGTTAAAGAAATTAGTTTTTTTCGAAAGAAGAATTTAGCAAGGTTAAAGCAGGAAAGAACAGCGTAGAAAAAAGAGTGTCACAGTAGCCACGGACCGCAGCACGTTGTAACCACGTGATGAACGATTTCCTCACCTTCATATCAAAACCAATACCATGCGCACGGCACATTTGGAAAAAAACGCTGTAATGAATCACACTCAAGTTACTGTGCAGCAGTCTGGTGCTGAGAATGGCGAAACGATTAGGATTCGGCGGTGGCTGTAAAACAATAAAAATACAATTTACACTCATAATGATTAGGCAATGGCGAAACTCTTAAACCCAAAGAGAGTACTGTGAATAGATCTTATGCCAATTTCCCTCGTGAGCTTTTCACTGACTTCGCATCTGGCCTGATAAATATTCATCGTTCGTTAATTAGATTAGAGAAAGGTCTGAAATTTTATTCTCTTTAAAACGACTAGAGTTCCTTTAATCGAATGTTCAGGAGAACAAAATAATGTTTACCGTAACGTCATAAGCCTCTAGCTAACCAAATAAAATATCCACGATCAATCAACATTTCAGCCAACAAACATATAACAGCTAGAAATATTATAGTGAAGCTTGCATCAAGCAGAAACCCGCTAGATGGCAGACACGAGCCTAAGTAAGTCCCAAATTTTTAATCCCATCTTTTTAGTAACGAGACGCTGCATTCAATAGACTACTTTCGTCTGATTACAGATTAGGATTACAATTTTGGCGTTTATTCCGATGATTACTCATGAGTGTTCTCACATCTGACCGAACTTGTGACGCTTTCAATGATGGCTGTTCACTCATCCCCTTCTTTTTTATAGTGCCCATGCGCAGTTTACCAAGCCTCAACTGTGTTGACACCCTACATTAAGCGGACATTGAGGATAGACCCGCCAGTGTTCACGCAATAATAAAGTTTTTACGATAAATCCATCTAAGAATGTCACCTCCTCTTCCTCCACTGTTTTTCGTCTCCTTCTCCTTCCGCTTTCTTCTCGTTTCTTTTTAACTGGCACCAGAAACGATGACTGAGGAGCTTGAAACTCTCCACCAGACACGTAAAGCATAAGTTTTGTCATAGCCATACTGTCACTGTACCTCAGCTTCAGGTCGACAGCCCACACAACCTGCCCCAGCTGAACAAGTAAAGCAAGATTGTATGCATGAAGGTTGTGACAGACCCAAAATGATTCTGAGTCGGGCTCAAAACACATTTATGCCCGTGAACATGAACTCCATTGCGTTATTTTACGATACATGAAGGGTAGCCTTATAACGGAAGTCTATGACTGTGCACTCCTTCCGATTTCATAACCACCGACTCTCCGCCTTAAATGAGTCGGTAAATCGAAGAATTGAAGATCCAGATTGTTGGATCATAATTGTTTCTCAGCCTCTTTGTTTTACTATTGTCCGATCTAACAATAATCTACTGCAATACTTACCGATTTAGGATCAATAAACGTTACAAAGTCCATCGAAAAATATCCCACAATTCCCCGCAGTTTACAGGCATTTGATACAGCATCAGCGGCCGTGCAAAGTACTAGCGGATCCACTGAGGTCTGGGGCACAGAGTATCCCCAACATCTGAACGGTGACGTGGCGTGAATCTAAGGAGAATAAGTTGATTTAACAGTGGTGAAGGCTACTCGTGTGAACGTAAAAAATTACGCAGCTGGTTGTTTTGTTTATATTTTGTCTCCTTTATGTTTACCTTGCAATAAAAAGACCTCAGTTTCTGAGTTAGTTGAAAACGTTGACGTCACAATTTTTAACTTACCTGGTCTGCCATGGACAAGATTGTTGTTTCCCCAGTCGGCTCAATTAACACATCGACACTGAGAGTTGTAACACTGTCAGACGGAGGGCAAGCTTCAATAACTCCTCCTGAAAAATGAAAAAAACCAACATGATTGTACAATAACAACTCGTGAACAGCACATACTCACACCGATTTCCTCTTACTTTAGTGGAACCTCTTCAGTGAAAAAAACAACAACAACAACCATAATACCATCAGTATATTACAAAGCGAGAGGCCCGGCGGCTAACGCGTCGGACACATAATCGAAAGGTCTGAGTTCGAGTTCTGGAGGGTTAAAGTATTGAGTTTCTTAGGCAGGCCACAATACTCTTACAGTACCCCTCTCCACCAGAAGCTTTTCAGAAAGCCTGAAGAAAAGCTAAGGGGGGAGGGGAGAAGGGGTGGCTCCCTACAGCGGACTAGAATTCCATCTAGGAGGGGTAGCACTACGGGTAGCAGTACTGATAGTTCCCTCATTCCACAGAAACCCGGATAAGGCTCCGACAGGTATTGCGACTCAGTCTCGCATGAAAAATCTCTGCTGATAATGACATTTGATAAACGATATTCATTAATCTCAAAATAGCAGATACTAAGATGGTACGGAGTCTCGACATAGCAAACACTCATTAAATTGACTCCATTTTGACTGGGAGCTTGGTCATGTTTGGTCAATGGCTGGACGAGAAGACTCTCAAATAAACATTACAAGCTCAGAAATCTCGAGGCTAAACAGCTTGAGAGCATAAAAAGATTCCCAAACCTCTTTTAAGAAAATCCTGAAGAAACTTGTCCCAGGTAGGGTAGAGGTCGTGACTCACTGGGGTAGCATGGTGGGCCATGATCTCGGGTATCTCTGCTGAGACTCTAATCAAGGTTGGTTCGTGAGCCCATTTTTTGTTCCATTTCTCGCCGTACCGCTGGCACTCTTTCACGGCCCACGAGTAGCACTTCAGATAAGGCGTAACATCACAGAATGCTGCAAGGAGAGCAAGCACTTAAATCTACATTTTACCTCCAAAGCATTCGAGCATGTGTCAACATCAGTATATGCTCACCTGTTCCTCTGCCATCAAATTCATTGTCCATTTTGAAGAGCCATCGTTTAATATGGAGGTTTTCAGTTACCAGTTTAGCAAGACTTTCGTGAAGCTGAAACAAAAAGAGCGAGATTCCATGAAAGCTAAATACAATGACTGATTTTCTACCTGTCCTCCAATTAGAAAACTTTTAACTACTTAAGCGATATTCTCTTTGCCCGATTCAGGCGCCAAACTTTCCAAAGCCGAACTCGATCGAAAATTAGACCGACCCAAATTAACAAAAGTAAACCTGTTAATTCACACATCTAACTTGACTGACCGTTCTTTAGCCCCTCTTAATACAATTCCAGGCTTTCCAGCGCTTTCAGTAAAAATACGCTATAATATATTAAGTTTGGTATGATTATGAAACGGTCGGTGTCTGAACCAAAGCCACTCTGGCCATAGTCGAATTTCTCTGCCAAGCTGTGCGGGAAAACAAGGGCAGAGCCGTATGAAATCAAAATAGCTGTTCTTAATTGATTCAGACACCAAACTTGTCATGAACTTAATTCAAGGTATTATACACTTCATGTTCACTTTGCTCAACTCATAAAAGGTCCGGCTCCCGGCTGAACCGAGACTTTTCCACAAATATTTATCACCCCATACATAAAAACATGAAACTAGAATATTTCAACGCGTGTGCCTCAAGTCACGTAAGAAAGAGATGTGGTATGGGCCCAGAAAATTCTGCACAAACCTGTGGAAGACTGTATATATCAAAGTGGCCAGGAGGAATTTCAACCTTTGCGCTAAGAAAAATCCTCTTGGATCCTGACTTGGTAGAGTATAATGTGGCCACTTCGGGCTCTGGGCTCAAAACCGGAATATCTGATGAGATAAGAAGACAACACTCAATCGCAATACCAAACTGCCGTGGGCATGCTCCCAGCGCATAGCATGGTCTCCGATTACCCTCAAATCTTCACCTGATTGTCCCTTTCCGCGTTACAATGCTGTTACTTATCCGAATCACAGGGGTTTCAGGAAAAGCTGGTTACCGGCGGCCTAACGCCGCTTGTAAAAAGTTTCAACACTATCTGTTTAGCCTCGTGTTTGGGTTTCGTCTTATGGCATGATACAGCAGCCTTTTGCATCATCGGTAGCCGCTTATGGAAAAAGTTATCGAAACAATGCTTCCATTGTGCAGTTGATATTTGATGGAACACCACACAAGGATCCTATCACGATGTGCGGTTTACAGATCGTGAGGTTCTTTGCCCAAGATGAGCACTACATTTACACCTATGTGAAAAACTTGTCACACTCACCGAGTAAATCAGCCAGGTAAATGTCATCTTTATGAAGGACACCAGGAACTATATATGCATCACGACCTTTGATTAAATTCCTCAGCCTAGCAAGGATTACGTGCGGAAAACACTTAGCATGGCAATCTTAAGTACTGACAAATTCAAAAATGGATCCTTTGACCCACTAATGATAATTGATAACTTATTCTTCTATAGTAAGAATTAAAACAAAAAAGTCTTACCTTTTCACTGTTCGTGGACTGTACTTTAGAATGGATGAAAGGCACATGTTGTGAGTCTGTTGGACGAATAAAGAAATCAGTTTTTTTACAAATGACATCAAAACAGATCTATGGGTTGGAAAACAAGAACTGCGCAGAGATGCGGGTTTCTGACACAACTATGTACCAAAAAGGTTGGCGGAAAACGCAGATGGTATCAGGTAATTAGTTACTCTTACGATAGTGGACTTGCCAGGAAAACGTCAGTTGTATAATGCGCTTTGAAAACGCACGATTGTTTCCCTTGAAAACGCCCATATTAGACGAAAGCACATTTGCTCTGTTAACTTGCTTTATTCAATGTTTGTCAAAGTGATAATGAAATATTCTACATTCAGCGTACGTAAAATATATTTGTTGTTCCAGGGCTGTGTAAAATATTGCTTTCGTAAAGATCACAACGAAATTAAAGGTTTCAAAAGAGTGGAAAGTGCCTCACTGGGAATCTGTCTACAGCATCCGGCACAATGATCTTGTAGCGGTTTTCAATGTCTTCATCCTCGTCGCCATTTCCTTTGGATTCGGAATTGCTCTTGTCCAGTCTCCGCGCTTTCATTGCCAGTAGTTTCGAGTAATACTGGTAGACTTCGTCATTTAGTTCCACAGGACTGACATAAATAACTTCGACTTTGGGATCTACGTAATAAAAAGATGCTCATTAGATATTTGCGAATGAAATTAATCTAAGCTTTTCTGTAGGTAGGTGGGACCTATTCTTACCGGCTATGTCGCACAGTCTGGCCATTTGGAGATTTTGTAAAATTTTTATTTCACTCAGTTCATCTCGAATGTGCTGGGCATATCCTACAAAATAAAAAGGAACAAACAGTGTCACCAGATATATATATATATATATATATATATGAGCTAACTTTTACTCGCATATTGATTTGTTTTTACTAACGATCTAGTGGAGGACAGACGCATGTAAGACATCATCATTAACAACACTTTGCCTTTTTTATCCTATAAAACAAGTGGGTTCTATGTTGTTATGGCTTTGTACAGCAACAGATCACAGAAGAAGTCAAAATGTGGGAAGAACATCAGTGAACACTCGACTGCGCCTCGTTTGTCACTTTTTTGTCCTTACCACATTTTGACGTCGTCTTTAATTTAATACCGAATTGTCCAACGGCAACATGGAAACAATTTATTAAATGGATCACTCAGGTGAGAGCAATGGAATTCCTTCACTTTTCAGAACTTAGAGTACTGTAGGTTGTGATACAGTTCACAGCATGTGCTGGCTAAAATACTAAACTTGACCTTTTCAATAAACTGCAAGGTCTTATCAGAAAATTCATCCTCCAAGCTAGCATAAATCTGTTCCCAGATTGTTTTTGAGTCTATAGTTTTACATCAAGGTAACACTCTCAAGCTGTGCATTCTCATTAAACATTTTCAAAGATATGTATTGATAATATAAAGAGAAGTACAATCTTGAGCAAGTATCTCTCGTAAAAGCCCACCCATTTATGTGGGCAGTTCTATAAGGTGTGTTTTTCTTCAAAGTTTTCAGTCCAGTGTGGCTTTCTCCTTCCTTTCTCCGAAATACGATGAAATAATACCTACCTAAGGACGGTATATGAATTACTACTCTCCTTGAATCCTTGATGCGAGGCCAGGCTTCTTGAAATGCCTAGAGACAGTCACGTAAAAAATATGCACATACAATTTACTGTCACAGAAGAACTTATTTTCTTTCTTTTACATAGGCTCAAACGAGGAATAATCGAGACAACGCACTCGTTTCTATTTTCTACGAATCAAACCCATAAAGCTTAAAATGACCGAATAAACCCTTGGCGCAAAATTTGAAAAGGGGATTACTCCTTTATTTACTACATGAGTGCCCTTGTATGAAAATAACAGTTTCGGCATTTCATAGAATACCATGATCTGCTACAGGCATCACGTCTGCAAGTAAAAGGGTATGCTACAGTAGACCATAACCAACGTCAACACCTCCCTGAGAGGTCTTCCATGGAAACGGAATAGAGGAGCTGATAATGGGCAGATGATATAGCAGTATCACTCGTCCCCCCGGGTGGGATGCTCGTCCATTGTAAGGTTTCATCAGGCTTCCCTGAAAATTCACTGATTCGCATTTACACTCCTGGGTGGAGAGACGCACTGTGAGAGTAAAGCGTTTTACCCAAGAAGACAAGAACGCTCTGACGAAGGGCTAACGCTCGAAACGTCAGCTGTTTTACTCTTTAAGGTGGCTAATTTACGTTTTCGACCCAGTTGTTAACACTTGATTACCTGCTATACTACAGCACCAGTACCCCTTTATACAACACATTGACCTGGCCAAGTGTTGAACTCAGACCTCTCGACCCAGTCCAGCGCACTAAGCGCTTGGCCACCGCGTCTTTGACAGCCATTAAGGTGCATGTAATAATTTAAACGTACCTTTGCGCGTACTTTGAACCTTTTCAGCTGTAATTTTCTGGTCGCTTTAAGCTGTTTTCGCACCATGGATATTTTACAGCTCATAATCCATGATATTGCGATAACACCTTCGAAAAACAGAAAAAGAAAGAAGATCAAATTAGAGTTTAAATATTTTGACATTATTAAGAGCGCAAACAAAGGTGGTCATTTTTCCCCTCTGGTGTTTATTAACCCTCGCAAACTGCGATTTTCTAAAATCAAATTTGAAGGAAACTGTCTAGGCCTCACAGAAACATAAAATCCAGACTGCTGGCAGCTTAAACTTGTGGAAACTTCGCGGCCTACATTTCTCTTTCTCTCACGTGACAAGACCCTTTTTTCGCATCACCTACAGACACGACACTTACACTGTATTGGGAAAGCAAAAACACGATTTGATCAGAACTTAATTTAGCATTCACGTCTTTATCCGCAGTTCAAATATATGACTTTCATATATTCTTAACCATTTATTAATTTAGCTCTCTTTTCCCAGGCTCTTCCAACAGGTCAGAAGCACTTGGATTTACATGTAACTCTGCTAAAAAGTACTCCGCTAGACAACATAAATAAAAAAAAAAGTTCAACTGATCGAGAAAAAGTCTATCTCGATAATCAGTAGTGGCTTTTCACTTTGGAGCGACATTTCTAACCTGCCGCCCATTTCCGCTTCCGGTATAGAAGGTAGGCCGAGCGATCCTTGTACCTACGCCATGTGGACTGCGAAAAAGAAAACACAATTGATGGTAACGTTGAGTGGAATGTTATTCACAGCCCGACGCCACATAACAAATAGCCAGGTACACAAGCAGAGCATACAACTACAGGTGTATGTGGCAGTTGACATGAACGCAGTAACATACCCTGCAAGTAAGAAACAAACACCAGCAACAATAATACATCTCGAGTTGATGGCACAGGCTATTCAGCATTTGGTTGCTTTCTCCTAAAGTTGAACACTGTGAATATTTCATGCTTATATTGTTATCTGCGTTACACACTGAAGGAAAGTAAAAGGTACCTGTATTTTTATAGCTGCCATTTCTGTGCCTTTCGGACCAAGGTATCTTCTGCCAGGCGTTTTAATAATCTTTTCCACATCATCCGCATTCAATATGCACGTTAGGAAATGCTGCAAGGGGAAAAATGATTTTCCTTACTTTACTTGAAGGAGTTCATAGGTTTGATATCACTCTACGTACTTTGATGCCCCTTATGCCTTTAGTTTCAAGGCCACGACTTCCCTCTTATCTACCTTATGGCAAGTTCAATTTGATAACATTCTTTGAAAAACAAAGCTACATGTACGAGGGCATATGCAGCTCATATGAAACAACATACTGACCTCGACTGTTGGATCTTGTTCGAGTTCAAAAACTAGTGCTAGATCAGCCAGTCTGAAAAAGAAAATTGAACGAATAAAGCTGCCTTTGTAGGACAATTTTTTACCATAAGATCCCCTCATTTAAACTAATAGTCAATCAATTAAAAGAGAAACATATACAGTAACTAGGGAATACCATTTATGTGTACCATAACGACTACGACTTTGAAATTTCGTCTTACCTGTCACCATCTATGAAGGCAATCGGGACGCAATAATTGGTGAGAAGCTCTTCCAGCTTCAGAATTAACGTCAGTATGCTGAAAAAGAATGATAAATAGAACCACATGATTTAAACTTACTTGGAGCACTTAATCACTTAATTAGTTAGACAATAAGCGATTTTCGATGATGAAGTCTACCCCAAGGGTTTCAATAATGGGATGGCACTTGCCTCCTATCGCTTTGACCCGGGTTCGACTACCCGAACCGGCGTTGCAGGTGCGTTGAGTTTGTTGTTCCCATTCCCATTTCCTATCTCTAATTTCGATCAGCAGTTCAAATCTTTTGATCATGGGTTCATGACACTCCATTGAAAGCATTCTAACAGTGGGTTGACCAAAGAAAGCAACGAGGACTCACCTTCCCCAAGACAGACAATAATGCTGTTTGAAATCCAGGTAGTCCTATCAAAATCATAGGAAAAAAACTCAACTTATACACAGGATACTGTTAATATCTACTCAAGTTTTTAAAATTAATTTTCAGTGAAACTTTTTGCAAAGGGAAATAGTAAGAAGTATATTCAATTATAAAATACACATTGCTGTTAAACTTAAAGGCTACGTGGGGTATCTTTAAGCCTGGATTTCTTGGTTAGAAACATTACAGCCGGCAAAGTTTTATGCGTCTCTCCAGACCGCATCATCAAGTTACCAGGCTCTTTAAAAGCATAGAGATAATTCAAAATGCTACGCGCAATTGGGAGTTTCCTGAAAAAGAAATAGTAACCAGATTCGTTTTCAAGCTTGGCACAGGGCATAGCAAAAATGCCATGATGCGATGGAGTCACAGTGCCAGTTTGTGCCTGGGATGGTCATTGGGAGAGAAATGTTCGAAAACTGAACTGAAAAATTGTTTATGTATCCCTGAAACCGTGAGCCTATTTGCCTGTCTGGGCTAACATCGTTCAGTAAAGTAATTTGAAATTGACAGATCCTGTAAGTAATGTTTGATCGCTGCGTCATCACCTAAAACTACTCCCTGGATACATATGCAGAGTTTCTCGTCGTTCACGAACAGTAAAAATACAATTTCTAATAATCGATCCATTTTCCCCTGGAAGTCTGTTTTCAATACGTAATCTGCATGGAAAGTAAGTCACCGTGCTCGACGATCACGAAACAAGTTGAAGGATAGCATAACCCGCGAGCACAGGCCAGATTAAGTACCGCCATTTTAATAATGTGTGAGCGCTACTCAAGTGTGAAATCGAGTGCAGTAAGGATGGGCAACAGATGTAACCCCTCAAAAAAACGTTCTCCGCGTGTATCAAAACTCGATAACACTACCAATTCAGCACTAGCTAACAAAGACAAATATTTGACTAGATATTCCTTACTCATTCCCAACCAAGTGCGAGAGGAAACTAGATGTTTGTTCACAACTTCGGCTACACAATGTGAGCAATGTACAGGTAGCCTGCGTCTCAGAAAGCCCATACACTGGACTATAGAGCGGGTCTTTGTGACAGAGACACGGCTATGACCACGTGATAGGCAGTCACCTGATGGATGACCTCCACCATAAAAAAGAATATAACAACAATTCTTTTGCACCTGTGAAGTAACTCTCGTCTTGCCATTCTGAATCACAAACTTGTGAACACTTTTCAGTTCATTCGCTGGTGTAGATGCAGGAACAGGAATCTGACAGACATTAAAGAGAGCATGTCATTTACAGTTTAATTACGCCTGTGCAGACAACTGCCACAACATGATAAACAGACATTCAAAGATCACTGGGTATACTTAACTAGCCTTAATATCCAGAATACATGTAGGTAAGAGACTCACTCAATCATCTTAGTCCTCAATAAGACGTATAGCAACAACACGAAAAGAAGCCCTTCCACAAACGTATACAGTTGTACTGTTACAATTCATATTTCCAAGTGTACAATGAGATGCTTATATATCAGTAACCTTTTCATTGCTTTGCAACATGTTATAAAACTTGAAAAAGATGAAAAAAATTCCTTTAAGCCAAGTTTTAGATAGCCTGATTTAAGCGTTCAGGTAGGAAAAGGAAGCGCGATTGTAAAAGGTTAAAAAAATGCAGAGGAGAGAAAAAAAACCAGCAAAGTTTGTGTCAGGTCAGCCCCCTTCGTTTTGGGACAGCCACTACTATATACTGCACCATTTACTATTTGCTCTGATTTATTAACTGAACACCAGGAATTGGCTAAGGTTTTTGCATTTGTACATACAGGGTGGTTCAATCATGAGGCTGAGCCTCCAAACCTGTCGTTAGTCATTTTCCCCGGTGCCCATAAATGCAAGGTAGAGAAAGACCATCCCTTCTCCCCTTCCCATCATTCTTAACCTCTGCCCAGATTCCCTGTTATTAATTAAAAGATTTAGTATCATTTTCTTACCATGTTAGGTGCCTCTATGGCTTTTAGTGGAAGAGGTTTCATTTTGGAGTTCTGAGTCCAGCCCTACATTATTAAATAAAACACATTGTTTCATTACTTTTCAATTTGAAAAAAAATCCTGGTTTTCAACAGCCCTTATTTGTGGCTTCATCACTTTTTCAAGTCCAAACCGTCTAATTTCACCTCACTTTTCCAATTATAGATATTGCCAATCAGATAGTCAAGCAGCCTATGAAAATTAAGCACATTTAGCCATCAGCTTTATTTTTATTACCTACATGTAGTCAATGCTAACCAATCAAAATGAAAAAAACTTCTTCGTGAAGCAGGTTGAGAGATCCACACTGAAACCAAACATGTATTAATAACAGGTGAAAGTTGGCCTTACAAAACCCTTGTGCACAAGGTTCTCCCAGTGTGTATTTGTGATTGACGAAAATTGGTGATCAGTCTTTGAGTTTTACAACTCAAGTGTATCTCATGCTTGTGATTTCAAATCAGCTTTGAGCTATGCACTTTGCCAATTTTAAATCACTTGCCTGATTACTCACTGAGCTGTAATCCATCCAGCCCTATTACCAATAAGGCTGAACAGTAACTTCCTTTTGTCTTTGATTACCACACATGGTGATACAAGTACATACCCTGGCAGGAGCAGGCTGCTGTTGTTCTGTTGGAGATCTTATTCTTCTCTTCTTTTCTCCAATGGATGACTGTCGAGCAGCTTGCACTCCTGCTGGATCCATCTGTCAAGCAAAAAAGTAAGAGTAAAATTAATCACCTTATGTCCAACTTAAATAGGTTAGCAAGATTATCATTAACACTAAATTTAAAATCAACTAAATTATGATCTTGAATAGTTTTTTGTCTCCTGGCAGTAATACACATCATACAGACTTAGATGGGAGGGAGGTGGGGTTGGAAGTAAAATAAAACAAAGGGCTGAGAATATTCTGCTCACAGCATCCAATTCCTCTGCCACCAATATATCTACCTTGATGATTAAAGATCAATGGTTAACAAATGTTTGCATCCCTCTTCTGCTTCCAACCCTCAATGCATTTCTGCCAAAAATCTTTCCACTTCCCTCCCTTTTGAACCCCTCCCTCCCCTCTTCCCCCAGGCTTCCCACATGTCCCCTCCACTGAAAAGCAAATCATAATCTACTACACTGTCAGGCAGCAGCTGATAAATATTGTTTAGTTAACTAAGTTGGTCTCAATTTTCTGATGAAATTTCTTCTAGTTCATAGGTTTTTTACAGAAGTTCATTGCCCAATTCTTCGGGCACCCTTCACTATGTTTAAGAAATTTGAGTTACTATAAAACTTCTCAAAAAAAAAAAAAACCCTGAAAGTATTTCACTTGTCTTCTACTCATTCTCGTACATTTACAGTTTGCACTCATACCTTAACAACTGAGAGGTTGTAGCCCCCAACTGCAATGGTAAAAAACAATGCAAATCAACATTTAAAATGATCAAGGTACAGTCTCTACACAATATCATCCAGTTCCCTTTAAAACACATTTAATGGCATCATCAGTAAAATACTTTGTTGAGTGCACATTTGCTGCATGATGTAACACACTTATCTAGCATAAAACATTATACATTATACATTGTACATTGTAGTACCAGTGAGACCTCTAGGTCTAGAGCAGAGCCAAAAAATTATGACCACACAAGAGCCATATCATTAATTTATTTGTACAATGTACATTACAAGAATAGAGAATGTGATTCAAGAAATATCTATACCCTCTGTGGGACAGAGTGCTGGAAATTCCAAAGTAAGAAAGGGAGGGTTACATATACATAGGCAAATATCCAGAGAATAATATGAATCACAATGGGGAGGGGGGGGGTTTAAAACCAATTGAAACCATCCATGAGAGGGGTTACTGGAGTGATTCTGGAAAAAGAATTGAAAATGAATATTTGATACAGTTAATTGTGATCAAACTCTCAGAGAGTAACCAGACTGAGATTTATTTACCTCCCACAAAATCCTTTGGAGGAGGAGCAGTATACCTTGAAAACTGATGTTGGGATTCGTGGAGCTGTATTCAAGTAAAAGAATTAATAAATAAGCCCTCATTAACTATTTTCACATGGAAGAAAACATGGAAAACATAAAAAATCAATGCACAGTGTATGAGGTTTTTTCTTCAAGAAGATATGACCCTGTGCTCCCTCAGAGTGACTAGCAGCTAATTTCTCTTTTATGTTATCACCCATGAATTACACAGTAGGGTCACAAGAATCAAGGA